CTGTAAAAGTGAGATTTGTTTGGCTCCAAAAGGTAGAACATGGGACAGTGGGTGAAAATTGCATAGAGGTAATTTTTGCCTCAATATAAAAGGGAGTGGGAAGGAGAAATTATAGCAACTCTTAACAATCTGACTTGTCCAGAAGGGTAACATACTGCTTTGGTAGATAGTTTCCCATCACCTGAGGTCTTTAAATAGAGGCTGGATGACTCAACTTTCTTATTGATGATATTTATTAAAAGAGATTTCTACTCAAGTTTCTGGCCTTTCCCAAATATCAGATTCTAAATTTTTTAAATTTAGAATTCAGAAAACCTGGGTTCTGCTTCCTGTTCTTCCACTACTTACAACTGCACTTCTATAGAAGTCAGTTTTCTCTTCTAGAAAATGATAACATTGAACTAATGTCTTTGAGGCCCCTTCCATTGCTGAGATTTTGTGATTTATTATATTTCCTCTATTTTCTCATAGCACTTGCCTTCTGAAGAAGAACAAGCCCTGAAGAGTCCCTTTTTTTGTGTTAGAAATCACATCACATTATTCCTATTCCTATTCATGTGACATCTTCCTAGTTTTTCTGTGTTAGAAATGTAGAAGCTCCATCTTATTTCATGGAATGGTTGTATATTTTTTTTGAATCCCAGAAACCCAGAAAAGTTGTGGTAGTAATTAGTGACAGACCTAGAACTAACACCCACCTGAATCCTCAGAACATGCCTGTATGTTTTCAGTGTGTTTATTGTATGCAGGTAACTATTGGCCTTTGATTTATTAGTAATTTTAAATAAATGTCCCAGGTCACTGAAACTTGTCTGTAAGGTTTTCCTTCCTTTTCCCTGTCGTCTCTTTATTCTCCTCTCCCTGCTCCATGCATAAGCAGGAAAAGCTCTCTGCAAGGGTGGGGTCAAAGGTGTGACTGGCAAGGAGTAACTATCAAGTCTAAAGAGAGGTTTGGCTGGCTCTAGCTGGTGATTCACATTCCATAGATGGAGGCCAGAATAGGGATTTTTTTTTTCCATTTTTGGCTTCTTCTCTAGCCTTAAGCTCAGATAGGTGCACCAAGTTGCAAATGGTAGTGTTTTAAGGATTTTTTTGCCCTAGGACTTTTTATGTTGTCTTTCTATGAGAATTAGATATTTTGTAGGTATTATAAATTTTTTATTTTTTCTGAATAAAATGCAAAAAAGCATAAAGGGGTACTTAATTTTTTTTCTTTTACCTGTCATTACATATTCCTGAGTTAAATAGTGAATTTAGTTCATCAACTGGTTACTTTTGAGGAAAATTTACTGAATCTTATTGAATTTAAAAAAAGTCTTAGCATAAAGCATTGTAGAAAGTATTGTATGAATGAATTTTCTTGAATCCTTGGTGTATGATTTTTTTTAAAGGAAATTCCTACAACCTGAAAACTTAATTAGAAATTTTCATGAGATCAATGATTTAAAGCTGGGAAGGACTTTGGGAGCTATCTAGTCCACACTCTCATCCTCTAGATGAGGAACCTGGTCAATGACTTGCTTGGGGTCTTACAAGTATAAGAGTCTAAAGGACTTTTGAAGCGAGATCTTCCTGACTCTGAAGTCCAGAGCTCTGTCCACTCTACAGTACTGACTGTCATCAGCCTTTTCCCACACTTAGCAGGGATATCTCAGTGTTCTGTTTGTTGTCACAGAACCATGGCATCCTATTATTCAGTCCCAGTGCTATGGATGGTACTTGCTTTTTTTGTGAAAAGCTGTTGCGACGTCATTTCTTTAGGCCCAGCTTAATTTCTTTCACATTCCAGGCCAGTGGATCAGAGCAGAGAAATCTTTCTTCACAGGAGTAGTCCGGGTTGCAAAAGACCTTAGATTAGAGTTCATCAAAGAGTAAACAAACAGAGCACCAGAGAGGTTAAGTAACTTGCTTTAAATTTGCATGTAGGTCCTCTGACCCCAAATGTAGCACCTTTGCCATTCTACCTGTTGGCAGAAGGGCTCTGTGTTTCCATAACAGAAAGAGGTGTCTTCTTTATTGACATATATGCAGTGAGTTAACTACTGTCACTTGGGATTTTGTGGCATTTTGGTAATAGGAGCAAGCTGATTTCCCCTAAAGGCTTTATTTACCTTTAAGAAAGCCTGTGTTTAGAAATTTGGCTATTTTTTCTTTAAGGCTACCTTCATAAAATTTCATTAACGTAATTTCAGGCCTTAAATCATGCAAATCTTCAGTTTCCTTGAAATCAAGAGTATCCTGTGCCATATCAATTAAAGTAAATGTACTTTCAATTAAAGGTGTTAAGGATGAGATTGAAGAGATTAATTCTTTATAAAAGAATGACCTTCAGTAGTCAGATCCAATTAGGCAGTTCTCCAACTATATTTCATCTTGATGGGACAAGTCTACTGCTAACAATCCATCATTGTGATCTTTTCAAAGGAAGAGAATATTTTGGGTTTGGATTCATAAGGAATAAGCAGCCTTAGTAACATGAGCAGTAGCTAAGTTAAATAGCAGTGTCTAGGTCTTGTAAGTGTGAATAGAAATTACATCAGAAAATGTTGATGCTAGAGATGTTTTCCCCTCTAAAATATTAAATAGGGAATTATGTTCATATAAAGAGGCAGCTAGGTAGCTCTGCAGTGCTGTGTCTGGAGTCAGAAAAACCTGAGTTAAAATCTGGCCTCAGACACTCAGTAGCTGTGTAAACCTGTACAAGTCACTTAACCTCTGCTTGCCTTTATCCACTAGAGTAGGAAATGGCAAAAAAATTATATTTGCCAGTAAAATCCCATGAAAAGTGTGGTCTGCAGCTTCACAAAGAGTCGAACACGACTAAAGCAACAAAAAATCTTCATGTGAAAATGAATTGCCCTTAAGTTCACCTACTTCACTCCAAAATTTTGCCTGTCCTCTGTCATCCTGCAAGTCTATCTTTCATGCCTCTTTTTTGTACTCCAGTGTTTTTATATTTCAGTCTTAAAAGTGATTTGTAGTTGTATAATCTCTCTGGGCTTGTTTCTTGAACTATAAAATTGAGGGCATTTGAAAACGGGTCCCTTCCAATCCTAAAGCTATACGCCCATGAACCTAGTTTGGGAAACTCTAGAGTAGAGAATTTCATATCCTAAAGGGTACTTAATTTTTTTTTTCACATAGTAAGTGAAACATACTTAAATGTGTTTTTGTTTGTTTCTTCAAGTTTTGTTTTTGTGGGTTTAGGTACTTTGTTCACCAACACAAATCACAATTGTTTTCATGAGTTTCTATGGCCAAAAATGGGCCTCTCTTACCTCAGGCTGGTTTTTGGATAGTAGCCTATGGGCATGGCCACCCAGAAACCCTTCCAGCTTGATAGGTCTTGCTTGAGTTTGCACTGCTCTGGCATAACCTGAGAATGCAGCATCAACTTGACAACAGGATACAGCACCAATGTAGAGCTTAACTGTAGTAAAAGGAAAGTCAGGGTGATTCCAGTACAGCAATATTCAGATATTCCTTCCATGTAGGTTTTGGGCAGATGATTTAACAGTTCAGTGATTTAGTCTAACATATTTTCTTCTTTTAGTAATTACTGTTTGGTCTACCTTTTCCATTCCAATTTTTCAAATTGCGCTTTTTTTTTATTAGTTCTTTGTTGCATTCATTCAATGTGCCTCATATTGGTGTGCCCTATAATAGCATATAGTCAAAAAGAAAGATTTTTCCAAATCCTGTATGTGTTTGTGTGTGTGTACATACATATTCATGCCTTCACTACTTAACAATAACATAAGTGGAAAAACTCTTCATATATTCAGTGTTATTGTTCCATTTCTTCAACTTTTCGTAAATTTTAAATGGGTATTTACTATTCAACCCCTCCTTATTTAATCTTCATGAAAATTGTCTGTGTGATCCTAGCAAGTCCCATAACCTCTCAGTGCCCTAGACCATAAGTTGCAAAGCAGGAGCTATTTTTTATTGGTAGAGACAATTTCCTTATCAGGAATGTCCTTTCTTAGTGAAATTACAGATTTCCCTCTCTCCCCATAAAAGCAGAAGACTGTAAGCTCATTAGCTGATATGGCCCCTTAATATTGGATTACATGAACTTTAGAATTTTCAGTAGGTAATAGCTCATCATAGGGCTTCTTCAGGGGCCTCTCTGTTGCAATGTTTTCTTTAGCAACATAATTAATATCTTAATTTTTTTTCTCCTTTGTATGATTGTAATGTTAGGACTTTGGTATGGTATAAAGAGCTTTGGATTTAGAAGGCTCAGGTTCTAATTCCACCAGTTGCCATTTACCGAGATATTGATTTTAGATTCAACTATTCCAGAATTCAGCCATCTTTGTCTGTAAAGGTTATCCTGAAGCTAAAATGAGATGATAAAGGTGAAAGCCAAAGTAAACAGTAAAGCACTGCTTTAATATGTGGTGTTATTTAAATGGAAGCAGCTTTCTAGGACTATATTTTAGAGACAAAGTGCCAGCCTACATTAGTAGAGGGAGTTTCCTCATCTGGGAATTTCCTGTGCCAGTGAAATCATGAGTCCAAAGCCCTATCCTAGTATTTAAACACACTCCTGCACGTTTTTGTTGCTTGCTCATATGTGAATTGACAAAAGTAGGCTACGCCTTGGAAATTGTGGACAGAATTAAAGAAGCAAATAGCATTTGATTGATTGGGATAAATGTATATAAAACAGGGCAATATAATAAGATGTTAAGAATTTCAGTTATTGAGTTTGATTTGATGTTACCAACATGGCGCAAATTTTTGAAATATAAATATTACGATTAGTTTTGTGAGGTGAGTACTACTATTAGGCAAATGCTGTTCAATTCCTTAAGTCCTTTCCTTTATTTATGTCTTAATATATATGTCTTTGAGTATAGGGAATACTGTAGCATCAAACTATAAAATGCTGTTTGCATATTAACATCAACTTGTATAAAAATTGGAATACATTTAGTTTGATTAAGCATCGCTTCATTAGATTTTAATGTGTTGTGTGTAATGTATTTCAGGAACTCCAGAAAGGAACTTAATGACATACGATTTGAGTTTACTCCAGGAAGAGGTAGGTTTTATTGAAATTATTCTTTTATTGCCCAGAAGCGCATTTCAGAAATTGATTACTGGTTTGGGGTTAATAAATTACTGTTTCAAAGTTTTTTCTCCCCAGTAAAGGAATTTTGTATTACTATAGTAATTCCAAACCAAAATCCTTTTGCCCACTTGAGTCTCAGTGGCTCAGTGCTATACTGTATACTGTGTATGTGAACATATATAATAAAATATATGAGACTGTATATATTAGCTCACCCCTGGAAATAGGCATTGATAATGTTGGAGTAGAGCTTAAAAGAAAGCAGGATGGACCTAATGAGAATTATACAGAAAACCTAATAAGAACCTAGCAACAGACAACTACTCTACTGAGAAATGTGACTTACTTTGATTTTACCTTCACTGTTGTGTGTTTGTGGAAGTCTGTATTGTAAGAAATTGATGGGAAAATGTTTTATTTGCTTTAGATGTTAGTAAATATGGGTATGCCTAATGTCTGTCTTTAAGCTGAATAGAATTTTCATATTCTAGGCAAATTTTGAGTACTGTCCAAGCTGTCCCAGTTGCTTTGCAAAATAAAAATATTTTGAGTGGCTAAATAAAGTAATGCATATCAGTCAATGTTTAGGGAATCCCAGAATCTAAAGATACCTCAGAGGTCATCTAGTCTGGTCCACACTTCAGTGGGTGCCTCCTCCTAAACATTGTTAAGACATGGCTAGCTAGCCTCACTGATAGAAACCTTTCTACTTCCCTAGACATCACTCCAGTCTTGATCAGCTCTTATTGTTTGAAATTTTTCCCCTAAATCAAGCTGAACTCCCTCTCTTTGTAGCTGTTATCCATTCTTATGTTAGAGTCAAGTAAAACAAAAGTAATTACTTTTTCCGTTCATGGTAGCCTTTGATATACTTGGAGGCAAATATGCTGTCCTAAGTCTTCTGTTCTTCTTACTAACCATTCCTAGTTAGAGAGGCAGGATTGTACTGTGGAAAGAGAATTATGTATCCCCTTATAGCCATGCAAGACAGTTTGTTTGGACATTCCTCGATCCCTGCAGTGCATTCATTCTAAAGATGAGGCAACTTAGAGAGATTGAGAGAGTGACTTGACCAAGGTCATATGAGTACTCAGTGGAAAAGTAACAAATTAAACTAATACCTTCTGACTTTGCAATTCCAGTGCCCTTTTCACTAAGCCACAGTGCCAGGAGCTTTCTTAGATTTGGCCCATTGGTCTAGCCTGTTGAGATCTTTCTGTATACTAATTCTGTTTTCCAGTGTGTTTGACTTCACAACTTCATGCCTCTATATAGAGTTGAAAACTATGTCACCATCCAAGTAACTGATAAAATCATTGAACCAATTAAAATAAGCATCTGTCCTTGAGACATTCCTTAGAGACTGCAGTCTTGGGTCGACCTTGGTCACCATTCTTTAATCATTCAGTACGGTCCAAATCTATCTAACTCCACTGTCTCTATTGAGTCCACTTCTTGTCTCCAAGGGTGTCCTGATTGAATCTTTCAAATACGTTGATAAAATCCAAGTATACTATGCCTCTGATATTACTTTGATTTACCGGTCTAGTTATTTTGTTGAAAAAGGAAATGAATTTAATCTGACATGATCCTTGCTGGCTTCTAATATTTACCTCTTCCCCTTCTAAGTGCTCATAAACTATTCTTTTAATAGTGTGTTCTAAAATTCTTCTGGGAATTGAAGTCAAGTTTACTGACCTATAATTTGAAGAATTCTCCTTCTTCCTCTTTTTTTTTTTTTTTAGAAAATTGGTATATTTGCCTGTCTCCAATCCTGTGGCACTTTCTTCTCTGTAATTTTTTCACACACTGCCTGTATTAAATGCTGGTCTTCTACATCCGCAAGTTTTATTTTATTACCCTGTGATATAGTTCTTCCAGGCCTAGTGACTTAAATTCATTGAGGGCAGCCAAGAACTCTTATATTTCCTCACAGCTTTTGATTTCCATTAACTTTTTAAATCTCTACTCTTGGATCTAAAGTTAATTTGGCTCATTTCAGAAGATATTGATCACCTCCCCTTTGCAGGGTACTTTGCTAAGCACTGAAGATAGCAAGATAAATATGACACATACTCTGCTCTCAAGTAGTTTATAATCTAATGGAGGGGGGTTGGGGGAAGGGTAGAGATGGAGGGACTTTTAACAGATGTGCAAAAACCAATGTTAAGTACAAAAGAGAGCCCTTAGGACAAATTACTAAAAGAAATTTGAGGATGATAAGACTACTTTCTGCTCTGGCAGTTGTGGAAAACTTCATGAGGGAGGAGGAACTTGAGTTGGGCCTTGGAGGAAACAAAAGTCTAAAACAGAGAGAGTAGGAGTTGGCAGTGAGGGAAGAATTTAATTTCATGCATGGGTGACAGTTTCAACAAAGACAAAATTTAGGAGAGGGCAAGATGAGAATAGAAGACCAACTTGAATGTTAAACTTGAATCTAGAGAATATGAAGAGAACTAGTAGTATCTAATAAGGCCAGAAAGGTAGGTTGTAGAGGCCAGGAGGAGGAGCCTGTGGAGTCCAATGAAGGTTTTTGAAAATACAAGTGACATGATCAGCTTAGGACTGTTACTTGTATTTACATCAGGTCAGTTACTTGTATAGCTGTGTGAAAGATGGTTTGGTAAAATGATAGATTAGAAACAGGAATGAGACCAGAGAGGATTATGAGAGAGTTGATAGGGGATAGGATTTGGATATTTGCACTAGGAATGGAACATAGAAGACTGCAAGAACTATTGTTGTGGAGTAATTGATAGGCCTTGACAGCTGATTAGATGGGGAGAGAAGGAACAGCCAAAGAGGATACCAAAGTTGTAAAGCTTTTTGATGGGGAAAGATGTTGTTCCTGTCAGGAGAAATAATGAAATTGGAAAGAAGGGTGGGTCTTGGGGGGAAGATGAAGTAAGTTTTGAACATAATGAGTTTGAAATGCCAGCAGAAAATCCAAGCAAAGATAACCAAACACAGGGAGGTAGAAGCAAGGAATTGAAATTCTGGGGAGAGGTTAAGGGTGTTGGATAGAGACTTGGGAACAACTTAATAGAGGTAATAATTGAAACCATAGGAGTGGTTGAGATTACCCTGGGAAAAAGTATAGAGAGGAGAGAAGAGCACCAGAGCTTAAAAACTTTGTTGGGGAGAGGAGGGAGAGACCCACATTTAAGTGCAGGAGGAGAAGGGAAGCTGGGTAAGGATACAGACTAGGAACGTTAACCAGGTAGGAGGAGAACGAGGATGCAGTGTCATAGAAGCCCAGTGAAGGCAGAGGGTCACAAGAGGGAAAAGGAGAATATCTAGGACAGGGGTGGGGAATCTGTTGCCTCCTGGCCACATTTGGCCATCTGGGTCCTCAAGTGTAGCCCCTTAACTGAATCCAAACTTCACAGAACAAATCCCCTTAATAAAAAGATTTGTTCGTAAAACTTGGACTCAAAAGGCCGCGCCCAAGGACCTAGAAGGCCACATGTGGCCTCTAGGCTGAAGGTTCCCCACCTCTGAAGAGAATGCCAGATGTCTAGGAGAATGAGGGCAGGGGAGATAAAGGAGCTATTTGATTTAACAATGACCAAAGTTGGAGAGAAGAGCTGTGTCAGTAGTGGTGGGTAAGGACTACCAACTTGGCAAGGTGTTCAGAAGTGAGTGAATGGTTGTTGAAGTGGACTCGGTGAGTGTAGACTAAACTTTCTGGGAGGTTAGCAGTAAAGGAGAGGAGAGAGAGATAAGTGAATGGCTTCATCAGGTAGCAGAGTCAAGGGAAGGATGTGTGTGCCTGTGTGTGTGTGTGTGTGTGTGTGTGTGTGTGTGTGTGGAGAGAGAGAGAGGCAATAGACAAGAGGGGGGTATATTTGGTAGACTTACATAATGAAATAGATGAGAGAGAATGGGGTTGAGCTTTCAGGTGAAACTCAGAGGAGGTCTGTCTCTGAAATGAGAGAAAAAACAGAGAAGATAAAGTGTTGACAGTGAGGTTCAGAAGAAGCAAAAGACTTCATGTGACTTGGCCTTGTCATTTCAGTAAAGGTGGTCCTCTACTGATACTGAAGGAGAGGAAATGGAACAGATGCAAAGGCAAGAAATAAGTAGTTCTACTTTTTCTGTTACTGTACCATTTGCCCCTTTGGTTCTCCATTTGCCTCCAAGTGTAACTTAATAAACTGCCAACATTTCTCATAATTTTACAACAACCAGTATTATTTTGGTTAGAGCTTTAATTCTTACTCACTTAATAGAGTTAAGCAAAAGTTCTCATTCTTATCTCTGGGGACAAATATTAACCTCTGTAATTGCTATTACAATTGATGTCTCAAGTTGAAAGTAGTTACTTAATGATGCCAGGGGACTTAACAATTTTCTACAAAATTTGAAATAAAGATATTGACTAGGCAATATGGATAAAGAACCTTGTGGCAGAAGATTAATGTTGAAACAATACCAACTAAGGACTTCAGTGATATGTTTATCTGAAGGGTTAAAAATGAACATTGCAGTAAAAATCAATTGTAATTTCACTGGCAACAAAGAAATGGATTCCTGTTTCTGCACCAGTTGTGCTTGCTTTGGCAACATTGGTTGCCCTTTTTTCATCAAAGTTCTCTGCTCACAGTTGCCAGACAGTATTGAAGGCCTTCTGTTATCACGCTGCATTCACCGGGCAGTGCTGTAATTGGCCAGTTAGCAAAGGAGACACAATGTGCCTATCCTCCAATAATAATATTGCAGATTATTGGTAGCGTCTACTGACATTTCAGATATTTTCTGCAGGGAGCAGGAGAATAATTTACCTATTTTCATGTCTGTATTTATGATAACAGGTAGCAAGTGAGTAGTGTGTGTAAATGGAGTCGGGAAGACCTGGATTTAAGAGGGATCTCTGACACTTGCTGCCTGGGACTCAGGGCAAATCTGTTAACCTTTCATTGCCCCAGGCAACTAACTCTTCCAAGACTCTTAAGTTGCTGATCTCCTTTAACCAGGGGAGTTTCCTCAGTGGCAGTTCTAAACTGCACTGATGAAATCCCAGATCTGAGCCAAAAGAAAATAAAATTGACAAGCGTAATGCAAACATTGCTCTTTATATTGGAATGTGATTCTGTCTTAAGTATCTTTACACAGACATCAGTGATTCCCTCAGACTTTAGTCGTGAGAAGCAGTAACCTACGTAAATACAAAATAAAATTTTGTCAAACCACCCACTTCCAAGGTTCTTTCCAGCCCTAAATCTGTAACCCTCTGACCCCTATGTAATATCATGTGCAGCAGACTTCATTTTCTGTATTTCTTCCCTAGCAGCGAGGCCTGTACCTTGTGTCCTCAATGTTTCCTTCTGGTTTCAAGCTGCCATTTTTGCCTCTAGCTTTTCAGGGTTCTATTTGCATGTAAATAATAAGCCTCAATTCTTGCATCCGGTAACAGCACATGCATAGGTGATTGAAAAAGACTTATTATGAAGCACTATAGGGAAACATTTTAGTGTTAGGGGAAAGTAACAGATGAAAAGGTTAACAAATTCAAAGAGCTCCCTCAGCCCTGATCTTCTCCACCCGTAGAAAATGTGTACTATTCTCCTTAGCTCTTTCCTGCCTAAATTTCTTCTGTTCTGTTTTGGTTGGAATAGTAGCATAGTTCCAGTTTCATTGCTGTGGTTTGGCCGGTGAGACATGGCCCTCCTAGCCCTCCAGAATCTGCTTTTTCAGCCTTGAGTATGGATAAGATCATAGAGTCTAGGTGAGAGTCTTCTTAAGATAGTTCTCATATTCAGAGATTTCGGGATATCTCACACTCAGCTAGGACTGAGGCTTAGTTAAGCCTTTTCTATCTGACCTCGCCTCTCAATTCCCCAACTATCAGCAAGAAAAAGATTATTCCCTCTCTGGACTCCAAGGCCATTGTCTCCCATTTTTCAGGTCTTGGCATATTTTATATTTGGACTTTTTCTGAACACCTTCATGCTCTGAACCTAGAAGTCATTTGCTCTTTTATCTTGCTCCATTTCTTTCTTAATAATAACAGCTTACATTTATACAGTTGCTTTCTATATGGTAACTGTGAGGTAGATGTTACTAAAATCACCATTTTACAGATGAGAAAACTGCCCTTCAGCGAGGTTAAATGACTTGTTCAGGATTACTGTTGGTCACACAGCTAATGCCTAAGGCTCTGGGATTTAAACCAGGGTCTTTCTGACTCTAAAAACAGCACTCTACCACCATTCCATTCTCTTCTCTTCTAACGGCTCCTGAAGTAGATTCTACAAACCTGGTCTTTCAGCTGGTTTATGCTTTGATGAAAAACTAGATTCTAGGTTTTGCTGCCCAGTCCAATAGGCTGTTACTGATCTTTTTATTTCATGGCTGTTCCCACCAGACTCTCTGGCTCTATAGTTTTAGTTCTCAGATAAACCTGGCTTTAGCTCGCTGCTTTTGGCTAAGCTAAGCTGACATTCCCCAAAGGCTAGTAGATACTGGAACCATTCCATCCCTACTCCTCAGCTAGGGATCAGTCACTTCCCCGTTTTTGAGTCCCAAGTCACTTGGAGTCTTGTGGTCCCTGTCCCTAGGCTAGGGCAGGCCCATATCCTGGCACACATAATTTTTACCTGAATTTTAAGCAAGAATTCACGAGTGCACTAAGAATCAGCCTATTCTCACTTGTATTTCATAGCATCATTTTATCATACTGAGGTGTGATCATTGAGATTTGATGGGAGTATAACAGTATTTTCACAGAATGACAGTCACAAAACATACAGAAACACAGAGGAGTGCCCTATGCAGTCAGCCAGCCTGCTGCTTTTCAGGATTTCTAATATGCCTTGCCCAGTGCTTAGCAGAGCTGATATTCACAGCCATTTGTGAATGTCAGTAGCCCTGGCTGCACTCCAATACCATCTCTCATTTTTGCTCCGTTAAAATAGCTCATTTTTCAGCCCTTTTGTGTGACTTCAGGGATGAGTGGGGTAGGGGACCAAGGTGCTTTTAAGGCAGACAGCAAACATTTATTGAGCACCCACTATGTGCAAGACAATGTGATATACGACAAGCACAGAAATTGAGTAAAAACATTTCCTACAGTTACTGCAGGCTTCCGAGGACATGAAAATTAGGAGGTCTGTTTTCTGTTTAACCCCCTGGAAATTCATGATCATGATGCCTTATGTTCTTTTCCACTATTTTGTAGGTAACTATGTTATTCTTAGATTTATTCCCAATTATAAACCCTCTTTGGGGGAGGCTGATAAACCTGGCTCGTATAGGACATCTCATGCTACTGGAATTATAAGAAAATAAACCAAACTTCTCATCCATTTTGGAAAAAAGAAAAAAGATCTCCTCTAGCAAGGTTTTAGTCCAAGGGTTCTTAAATTTTTGGGGTATCATGTAGCCTTTGGGCATACTGGTGAAGGGTATGGATTGCCAAGGAAATCAATTCTATTGAAATATGGCTATCAAAGTATTATAAAACAAAACAAATTCACAGACCCCAGATTAAGAACCTTTGTTCTAGTCTATTCCTTCTGCATTCATTTCAAGAAAGAAAATGAACAAAAGCACAGGTGACAGTTACTCAGTTTTGCAAGTGGAAGGTAGAGGAAATACATATTGAGCCTACTTTTTTTTTTAACTGCTGTTGTGAAAATTGGGCTGTGGTGGGGAAGAGGTGTTGGGGTGGGCAGACAAGTTTTAAAATGTGGAGAATGCCATTGGTGATTCTGTGATGCCAGGTATAACAAAATAGCATTCCTCTGCCCTTCCCCAATACCCACCATGTCTACACAAACACATGCATACGTGCAGTGGAATCACAGCCAAGGCTGTGTTGGGGGCTGCTTTGGCAGAGATGACAACAACGCTCCTGTGATCCTGCCATCTGATATCTGTAGAGTGTGGGAAGATGCTTGCATTGCAGCCTCCTCCCAGGTCATCTCTGGATGCTGTGCTGTTCTTCTCTGTAGTTAGTTGGAGCACTGGATGCAGGGGAAGATAAGTCAGTGCAGTATAGACTAGATTGAGGAGTATAACTGGAGCCTTCTGAGCCCAGAGGTGTTAACTCATTATGTTGATTTATATGTGCAGGTATAAACTTCATGAAGGCAAGGATCATTTCTTATCTAAACTTTCTGTCTCCTCTGAGAGGCAGTATGGCAAAAGGGATAGAGAGCCAGCTTCACAGTCCAGAAAACCTGGGTTTGACTCTGCCTTCTGACACATACTAGCTTTGTCACCCAGGATAAGTCCCTTCACTTCTCAGTGTCCTAAACAAATCCCTAAGACTCTTTAAGTTGCAGAGAGATAGCTGCTCCAGGGCTTAGCACAGTGCCTGGTACATACATTGTAAGTGCTTAATAAACGTTTATTGATTGATTTATTTCTATACCTTGGTAAAATGTGTTTCCTCATTGGCAATTCCCTCTGCCTCTTAAATCAGAGCTCCATTCTGTTCCTTCTTCCTCTTTCTCCACCCTCCCAAACCAAACAACTCCAACAGGGCTCAGCACGTAGTAGACACTTAATGCATATTTATTGAAGTGAATTATATGTAATGGTTTCTAAGATTTCTAGTTTTGGCATCTTTGGATCCCCAGAATTGTAATGTTTATTAAGGCTGGATAACCTATCTTCTCTTCTTGACACTCATTCAATCCCATCATTATAAGAAGGTTGCTATCCACAGACTTCACCATAGGCTTAATTATTTTATTCAATTGTGTTTTGTAAGAAAATGTATGAGTCTGTTACTATCAAATGATCATTGTCAAGATAAAAATATCTTTTAATAGGACAAATTAAAAAGGGTCATTTGGGGAGTCTATCAGTTGTTTGTGCCAACCATATGACATATCAGATACTAGTAATTTGACCTTTATCCTAAATCTTAACTCACTCACTGCTAAAGATTAAATTGGATTGAAAGATTACTGGTATTAACTTTGAAAAGAAAGGAGAGCAGTGCCACCAACAGCATTTATGACATAACTAAATCAAAATGCATTTAGTGAATAATTCAGATAATAGAGAAGAAAAATTTCTTGGTTCACCAAAAATGAAGTAATAATTTCATGTGACACCTACTGAATAGATGGCAAGGTGCTTATTATAGCTGATAAAAATTTATCATGGTATCCCTCTGGATTTTCTTCCTAATGTAGACTGAAATTTAATTAAAAGCATATGTAGGTAGAGTGTGGTATCAGAAAATATGTGTATTTTTAGATTTCACTGGATTATTGATTTTTATTTTATGGCTGATACATATTCATTTCACATTTGGACAGACACGGCAGATGGCGTTTCTCAGGAGCTGTTCTCTGCAGGCCTGGTTGATGGTCATGATGTAGTTATAGGTAAATCATTTTTTAGTATGCAGTGTTATCTTTGTCTGTTGATATGCCAAATGTAGAAGTGCTTAGAAAAATGTTTTCATAAGGAAATGATTCTCCACTTTACTTCATGTAGAAGCTTTTAAATTCTGCTTGTATTTTTACTCCGTATATGGCAGGGACATATCTTGGTATCTTGGGATATGTTTTATTTATGCTTCTAAAAAATAAGAAGGTCATTATTACATACAATAACATCTTGCTTATCCAGGAGTCACTTAAACAATCATCTCAACTTGCCAAAATTGCCAGAAACCCAGGAGTAAGCAACATAGATCACTGCAGAAACAAATGTCCCTAAGTCCATTTGCTCAAGCTGAAACACTGTTCATCAGAGAGCTCCCTCAGAATCTTCCTGAGCATTTTATTTACTCTTATTTTAAATACAATTATAACAAGGTTGCTTTTTTAGTTTCCGAGCCTCCCACAGATTAGAGGCTGTAAAGTAAAGAGGAAGGGAGAGACAGGCCTGCTGGCATCAAGGAATGGTGGCCGACAGCCTGGAATCAAGGGAGTAGGCAGAAGAACTATCTCTGAATGGCAAGAATTTTAAAAGCATAATCATTTGGGGACTTTAATGTGCAGGCTAATATCTCTGTGTAGCTCAGTAGCCCTTGAGGGCTATAGCATTGAAGAGTGAATGTGTTTATAATGATGACCATGAGTCATTAAGACAAGGGTAAATTCTATTCTGTATCCCCTGTTTAAGATGGCAGAGAAGTGCTCACTGGGGTAAGCTTCAGTTATCTGAAAAATTCACATGTGGAAACCTTACTTCCTGATGATGCTGGATGTTTCATTTTGTGCAAAGGGTGTTGATCTCCACTACTTAATTCTTCTCAGTGATTTCCTAGAAGCCATGTCATGAAATAATTTCTCGCAGAACAGCTCTGCTTTTTCTTACAGAAACAACGATAATTGGGGATGACTCACCATCTGATGAATCAGAAATATGACCCAAATTATATCATAAAAAGCAAAGATAGAGTAACTCTAAGTTTCTCTAAGCATTTCAAATGGTAACATCATTCTCCAGGTTCTTGTGAGCTAGAGTACATACTCTACGGATTGGTCATGCATTTGATTCCTTCTGCAAATGAATTGATTTTGGCCCTCCAGAAGTTAACGTACTATCTGTCACATTTTGTTCTGCTACCTAACTGTTGTGGAATCCTGTGGGTTTCTTTTTTGTTCTCTGATTGGTTTCTAGGTAAGGACTGGTTCAGAGTACTTTTAAGTTAAAATTGTCAGTCCATTGAAAAAGGTAAAATTCTTTCATCTATGCAGAAGAAACAAGAAAATATCTTACTACCTCCAGGTTTACCCATAAAACTGAAAAGGAAAAGGCCACCTCAGTGAACACCGAAGTGTTTCTCTCCCCACAAAGATCTCAGACAGCTAGAATCCAGATAGGAACAAAATGAATTGGGATTTACAATAATAAACAGAAATCCTTAAAAAATAAACTAATAAAGATCGATCCTTTCTCCTGTCTGGCAAGAATGTTGTTGAAGGTCAGATTGTCTCAGGATCTGAATTGATGCTAGCTAGCCTTGAGTTGGAATATGTGATGAAAGCAAGAAACAAATGGGAAAGTCTCTGTGTTTTATTGTTCCTGTTCTGTATAACTTCACTTCAGGTGCTTCTGTTAATTCAGTTTACCTTCTTTGTCCCAGGATAGCCAATAATATGTGTGTATGCATATATTTTTTAAAAAATGTAATCTACAACAATTTCCATTTCTTAATTGTTCATCTTTCCTACTCTCCTAAAATTGTTTGCTCTTTTACTAATTTCTTAGAATAGTAATATTCCTTCACCTACGGTATTTAAGAATCTAACCAGGTGTCTACATGTATTTATTATGTAGTGGTGCTGAAATGAATTAAAGTAATTTAAAATGGGGTTATCATGGTGATAGAGTCTTCTGTCACGGATGACAAGAAATGGTCGGCACTTATTCATGTTTTCTATTATAGTAGATGGCATATCAGGTTTGACCATCTGATCAGCAATTAAAGTGTTATAAGAGTGAGGAGATTATATTTTTGAAATGAATCACATGCCCCACACCACAGCCTTTGGGGAAAAAGGGTAATTTTCAGTTGCACAAGAACAAAAACTTCATAGACAAGATTCTTGAAGTGTTGCAGAATCTATTGTTTTCAAGACTGCAATGTTCAAGTTATAGTTTCAAATTTTTGGTGTTTGTCAGGGACTAAGAAAAGAAAAAAAATCAACAAATGGAGTTTGAATGAGGTTTTGAGGTGGTGGACTTTCTCCAATTATCTATCTCATCAGATAGTTTGAATTAGTTAAAAAAAATTTCCAATGAATTTCTGTGGTTTCTTTCTTTCTTTCTTTCTTTCTTTTTTTAATCTTGAAGTAAATTTTTATGATGGAATGAAAAGACCTGAAAAAAAGCAATAGCGGAAAAAACCGTATGCTACAGACCAGTGAATGTTATGACTTTTACTGAAACAGTAACAAATGGAGGTTTCACCAAATCTTCAATATCTAGCTCCAGGGTAATCTGCCTTTGGTTTCCAAGCCATCGTAAAACAGAATTTGGATTGAAGGAGAAGACTGATAGGGACATGAAATGATTGCCTTAGTGCAAAGACAGAGTAAAACAGAAATTAAATTCAGTGCTTATAGACTTGGGTAATAAGCCAACTGTCATTGTACTTATTTAGAGGTGCCTTCTAGGAAGACTTTTTGCTTTGCGTAATTGGGAAATGAAAAAATTGTGAGCCCCCAAGTGACTATTGGCTAAAGAATTCAAACTTAACTTTAAAGATGGAAAAATGTAGAGATAAGATGTAACGTAAAAATATGCCTATTGTGTCTGATTCTGTCTTGACTTAGAAATGGCAATATGCAAGCGCTAAAATTCCTTGGTATTCCCAAATAGGAAAGGCTATAGAAGAGAAAGATTAGTTGGCTTAACCTTGCTTCGGTGAGAGGTTTGCTTTCTGATTGATAGGAACTGATAAATGGCATTCCTCTTTTTAGCTGAAGCATGCAGAAATCCAGCTTCTCTCTAATGTGTCAAAGGAAACAATAATCCCAAGTTCTGCAAAAGCCTTATGAAACATAAGAATCTTCCTGCTCCTTTTAATAAATCCTGCAAGCTGCCGAGCAAGGTGTGGCAAGCAGAGCATCTTTGAATACTCTTGCAATAGACAGTTTCTTGGCCTGCCCAGCCAGCTCATTCCCTCTTAGCTGCAGTCAGCAAGGAAAGTTACTGGAGAGCGGTTTTAGATGAAAATGGTGGGTGAAAGCCAGTTGGCAATGGGCCTTCCAAAATCACAGCACTGTTTTAACCCATGAAATCCCTGAGTGCCCTGGCACATAGTAGGCAGTTAATAAATGCTTGATTCATCAACAGTGCCATCAGCATGTGTCTTTTTATTTTGAGCCTTTGAACATTTCTTGCAAACAGCAGAAATTTAGAAAGAGATGCTGCTATTGCCTTTCACTGTGGCCCTGTAGTGACCTATAAAATTCCCCTTTGAAGTTGTTTGAGTTTAGCCCTGTAGGCTGGTGTGCTAGTCTCAGTGCCCTAAGTCTAAACGACCAAGTGCCCTTTGCTGTTACTTGCAGATCTGTGTAAATGAGTTTGGTTCGTCACCATGCTGTGGGGAAAGAGCGTGGACTTGGGGGGAGGGGGCAAAGCCCTATGGTGGAATCCTGGCTCTACCCCATGACAAGTCATGGAACCTCTCTGGGCTAGCCTCCGATTCTCTACCCATCCAGCTGTAAAGTGCTATGATAAATATTTTTTTGACCACCATAGTGCTTTGGCAGCTAGGTGGCACCATGGTGCATAGAGCATTGGGCCTAGAGTCAGAAAGATTCATCTTCAAATCTGGCCTCAGGCACTTACTAGCTGTGTGACCCTGTGCAAGTCACCTAACCCTTTTTTGCCTCAGTCTTCTCAGCTATAAAATGGGCGTAATGATAGCCCCTACCTTCCAGAGTTTTTGTGATGATCAGTGAAGTAATATTTGTAAAGTGTATAGCGCAGTACCTGGCACAAAGTAGGTGCTTTATAAATGCTAGTTCTTATCATTATTACTGGTCTCAGTTGTTTATTTACATGATGTTTACTTCTAAATGTATCTTCCTTCCTGTGCCTCAAACTGAGTGAACTATCCCTTGCAACAAAGATTTTAAAAGGTAAAGAGAGAAGAAAAAGCAGTGTCCAAGAATATTCCCTCAGCCATTGTTTCCCATATCTGCAAAGAAGGGAGGGGAGGTAGGTGAGGCATCTAGGTGGTACAGTGGGTAGAACTCTGGACCTCTGGGGTCAAGAAGCCTGGAGTTCAAATCCAGCCTCAGACATTTGCTAGCTTATGTAACTCTGGGCAAGTAATTTATTCCCTGTCTGCCTCAGTTTCTCCATATGTAAAAATTGGGATAATAATAGTACATACTGAGTTATTGTGAGGATGAAATAAGATAATGCTTATAGAGTACTTTGCAAACCTTAAAGTACTATATGAAGTGCTAACTATTCTCAACTCTTTTCTGAGGCTAAACTTGGTCATTATAATTATATAAGCAGAACCTTCATTTTTTAGGAAGGGAACCTTTCATACACCTTGCCTGCTTCTTCTCACTTCATGCCAGAAAGGGAATTTAGCTGGTTGGGAAAGCATTTTTTTCTGCCTCAATTATTGCCTGGCATAGCCTTTTGAAGTAGTTTTTCTGTATTCATCTTCTCTGAATCTCATATCTGAAAAGGAAGTAGTAGATCGTATTTGCCTTGCTATCATAGTTGGTCTCCTCCCTCTTCAGGACTGCTTCAGAGCTGCCTGTTTTCTCTTTAATATGTGTGTGTGTGTGTGTGTGTGTGTGTGTGTGTGTGTGTGTGTGTGTGTGACTTGCCCAGTGTCACACGGCTGTCCACAGTGTCTAAGGTTGGGATGATATTGTCTTGTTCATAGAAATTTGTACCA